GCAACCTTCCGATTACAAGATGAACTCCCAACTCTTGAGCCACGATCGCCCAATTCAAACATTTGATGTTTTCTTTTCTCTGTGGTGAACAATAAGATTTCCAAATCATTGCATTCAGTTTGTATTTACTTTCACACAACCTTCCGAATCCGAACTGAGTTTGTAGATTCATCCCTACATTTGTTTGTTTATTTATTGCAGCCATGAACACATTGAAATCCTGACAGTGAATGGAGAGCTGCTTTTCTTCAGACAGAGAGAAGGACCTTTCTACCCAACCCTCAGACTGTTGCATAAATGTATGTGAGACCTTCTAGTGCTGGCTTATTGCTCGCTGTATTTTAATTTCCGCCTTCTGATGACCTGTTTTTGTTGTTGTTGTTGTTGTTTTTCCTTCTTGTAGATCCTTTTATTCTTCCACACCAGCAAGTAGACAAAGGGGCCATTAAATTTGTCTTGAGTGGAGCCAACATCATGTGCCCTGGGTTGACATCGCCAGGGGCTAAACTCTACTCAGCTAAGGCTGACACAGTTGTCGTATCCTTTCAGACATGATGCTCTGTCTTCTAGGTTTAAGCATTTATTCTATTTTATGTGAACTCCCCCATTGGTTTGTCTTTAATAAGTGAATTCAGGCAATCATGGCAGAGGGGAAACAACATGCACTTTGTGTTGGCGTGATGAAGATGTCTACAGAGAACATGTAAGACTTTACTGAGTAAATCCCTCACTAGTTGCTGCTGCTTCTTTTTTCTTAAATGTGCTCAACTCGCCCTTTTGTTTTGCAAACAGAGAAAAAGTCAACAAGGGAATCGGGATTGAAAACGTCCACTATCTGAACGATGGACTGTGGCACATGAAGACGTATAAATGATAACGCCAGCCATTTGGAAGATGTACGGAGCTCCTGATAGCGAAGCATGAGCTGCCAGTCAACTGTTTACACCTAGAGACTTAGCTGTGTAATCTACTGGAGGCTTTGAATCAACCGTCACTGTCATGCAAAAATAAAAGAAAGAGCTTGCTTTAAAGTGTATCTCAGTTGGCATTTTGTATTGCGGGAAAACAAATTGTAAAAC